TATTATTAAATATTTCAATATGCGTTTTTCACTATCATTATCCGCAAAATACAAATCTATTGTCAGTAAATATCATTCATATTATAAATACCGATATTAGTTCAACGTCTACTTTCATTTACAATATAACTAAGCTTAAGTTTCTTATATAAGTGGTGTATAGTATTAGACTTTAAAATCTATTGTAAGTTATATCGTTATAAAAGTAGAGTAATGGCTGTAGAAAATATTTCAAACTAATTCCCTGATACACAATTCCACAAATTGCATCTTGAGCCGTAAAAAAATTTGTGCATTTGACGATAAATGCTTGGAACAGAATAATAAACAAATAAATACTTGTGCGTTCACATTTAAACGATTTATAACACTCGTACATTTGCGATATGATATTTCAATTATTGCACGTTTCAGTCATAAATAATATCGAACAATTGGTTTGTTGTCGGTAGATATATAGTTATAATTTTCTCTTAATCTCTTAATAATATACGTTATCAAGCAGCTTTTATTTTGGACATCACAAACAATCCTATTCAATCTAATTAATAATCTTAACACAATTGTAAATGTTAAACATTTAAAATTGTTTATAATATATATTTTGATATTTTAATATATTTAATATATTAAGATTTTCTTTATTATACTATAATATATCTATTTATATATATTTATTTATTTATATAATAAATATCAACGGATAAACTTACTACGATCAGTAATGTTCGCAACTAGAGGTGTTCCTCGGTTGCGATGGGCGCCCGAGGGCTGTGGCACGTGGCGATCGCCGAGCGAACCGGAGTTATTGGCTGCATGTTCTTCGAGTTGCTCTCGCGCAGGGCGAGCTGGTAAGCCACTTCGAAGGCCTGGCCGAGAGTTAGAATGATCTCCGTGGCCTGGTCCTGAAATACATAAATCACAAATACCATATAGAGGCTTTACAGATGCATCACAAGTTATAAGGTATGTAATTTCTTTTAAGGAGTTATATAGGTAGGATGTTCTAAAAATTGATCTTTTTAAATTTTATTTTCTGAATATACATAAATTTAAGAATATACACAAAAATTTCATATCATTCTGGTAAATATATTCGAGGTTACACGCAAATTTGAAAAGAAAAACACGGTTGAGACGGAAGAAAGTAGTTGGTGTTTGGGCGAAAAAATTTAAAAAACTACATGAAACCCATAGATAACAAGTATAAATAGATAGCAAACCGGCCCGCTTTTCGATTATTTTGACTTTAATTTTCCGCTCCTGCTATAGAGGCGCGACGAGTGTAGCATGAAAATTTACCCCTAGGTTCAATTCTAGATAAATCCAAATCCCTAGGTTTAATTCTAAGATAAATTTATATATAATATTGTTACAATAAATCTGAAATTTTAATATATCAAATGATAACAAAACATACTCATAAAAAATATATTTTCATATATATTAAAAACATTTTTAAAAATGAAATAAAATTAATATTTAAGCAATAATAAATATAAATAATAAAATATATCAATAAAAGATATTTACATAATTTAAATAAAATACAATTATTAATAAATAGACAAGATTTTCTAACATTCGCAGAAAAATGTACGGGTTTTTTCTGCCTCAGTCGAGTTTTATTGGCCTTGAGACTTTTCTTGTACTTTTCGAGAGCTACTTTTTCATGGGGTCCAATTCATTTTCATTTATATATTTTCCTGAGAGAAATCGTTTCACAGTATTGCACCAGTTATTAACAACAAACAATATAAAGAATTCAGAAAATTGAACATCTCCGACCCTTATTCTTCCAAAAAATCTGCAATGGATCTTGATTAAAATTTTGTGCTACATAAATAATAAAATTCTGGAATCACTTTCTTTTTGTTTCAAACGTGCCTCAAATCCTCTATAGCTTTACAGCACAGTTTCTTAACGCATGCGGCTTTTGTTAGTACCCTGCTAGAATTTTTATCTTTACGAACTGTATTTAATTCAACATTTTTTTGACAGTGTGGTACGTGACACTTCGCCATATTGAAAATTATTATTAATTCTTTTGTTTTTCTGAAGTATTCGTTCGTAATCGGTCGTTATCGAGTAGCACCGTACAATAGTCCTGCAGGTTTGATGTACGCGTTGGCCGAAAAACGACGTTAGTTTTGAATTTGGGAACAGTAAAACCCTCTATCGCAGGAGCGGAATACTAATACGATAAAAAGGTCATTTGTTCTATGTTTGCCCCCCATGATGAAACCTTAGTTACACGTGAATTGACTGTTTAGTATTGCATTCCAAATTTTATAACCGTGTTTAAATCAATTTCCGAATATGTGAAATGTAAAAATTTTTCCGACCGGTTTGAAAACTGAGAAAAACGATGCATACATTAACCACCGGCATATTTAATAAAGGATTGGAATCACTATTGATTTATATGAAGGCAAGATAATTTACAATTTGAGCTCAATAGGCATTCATATGCCGAAAAAAAGATACTCAGCGCGAGATAATTTCAGATCATCGAGCGCGATAGAGCACCTGAGTTGAAAGAATGGCTCGCAGGCGACATCAGCTCGAGTTATTAGAAATTTCCAATTCGGTGGAGGGTCTCTTATATGGCTCTGGAACAAATGATTCCATGAAAGATAAAAAAAAACATTTTTTTTATCCCATGTAATTTGCTTTCCAAACGTTTTTCTCGAAATGATGTTTTCAAAATCGGTGACCAACATAACTCGAAAACGGCTAATCCGATTGGACTCAAATTAGATTACTAGTAACATAGTGTTTCAATTAAAGAGGAACGATAAAAACATATTCACTAAGGAAAAATGCAACCGATTACAAAAACCATTCCATTTTGTCCATACAGTATGACAAAAATGACATGTAGTGTAAGGACACATACTGAGATGTTAATTTTTAAGAAGGCAGTTCACAAATAAATTGTTTGATCCTATTTGCGACATTATCACATATAGACCAAGAGCCCGTGGGCGGATGACAGTATGTATTTTACGACACCTGAGATTTTGTGCATCGATTCCTCTATACCTTTCCTACATGAAATGGGGACTTACTAAGCCCAAAGTGGCGGACACAGCTACTGCGCAGCTGGTAAAGGTACCTTTTTTTCGCCCATATCCGAACCATTTTACGACGGTTGCCGTTTCGAAAATTTGAAAATATAATATTATTGCTATCGTAAAATACCAATGGCAGACGATTATCGCGCGGTTAACATGGTGGCAGACGATTTTGAAAATGCAGAAAAAAATTTTTTTTGAATGTATTTTACGATGTCTGCCATTTACATATTTTATTCCTTATAGTATCAAAACCTTATATTTATCACGGCAGACGTGTACCTGGTGGACCAACATCAGCAGAGTTAAAAAACTCAGCTACCATTTGGCCTGATAGTATGCATAAATCTCCATGTTTTATACCGATATAAGCAATTCTTTCATAATGATAATAGAAATTAATATTTGTTAGTTTATATGTGACATTTAATAATGTTGATGAGCGGAAAAAAGATTTTTTACGCTAAATTCGTAAAGATTAAAGTATACAAACGATAACAACAATTATTGTAATATTTATTCTATTTTTTTTATTTATTTTAGTCTAATTTCAAAATATTGTATAAAAATAAAGTTATACAATATTATATATATATATATATATATATATATATATACTTTCTTTATTTATTATAATCTCGGAGCCATATCTCGCTTTTGATGATTCCTTATCATCCGCTGAATCAGATTCTATAAAATAATAAATCAGATGTAAAATAAAAATTATTTGAAAATCCAACTGAAGATGTTTGATAAAGACGAGATTCTCCGACCATACTTGAAAAATTAAGCTGAATAGTATTAAAAAGATATTGTATGTGGGTTCTTTATTAAGTGTAGCAAACATTTGTTGAAGATCGATTTTTTTCAGAGAATTGTAAGGTCTTTTTTTTGTTAAAGAAGGCTGGATTGAAATCAGAACCAGTAAAAGCATGACAACAAATTGAAATTCTGGCAAATAACTAACCAGTTCGCTTCGTGATGTTAATATATCTCTGGTTATTTTCAACCCCATTTAGCATCCAAATATTTGAATTACTATATTTCTTAGTTATGTCATATTACCAATTCATATTACCAATATTATACTGATATTTTGCAGTATCGAAGGCTCTAATAGGAATATTGCAACGATATGCTCAGCGATGTTACGCGCGTGATTGATAATGTTTGTGTCAGGTTCTTCATGTGAAGTACAACAAAAATCTTCAACAACACACGATTGGACATTTGTGATTATCATTGTATAATTGACAGTCTCAGAAATTCAAATAAATTAACAAAATTTAAATAAAAAATATCGATCTTCAACAAGGGTTTGCTACACTCGGTTTAGCAAAAAAGAAAATTTAACAGGAAACCACCTAAGATATTTGCCAAATATATAATGCAAAAAGACCTAAATGACGTGGTTCTTGGACGGTACAAACTATTCATTAATAACTATAAAGTTTACAACGTCAATGAACAATTCAGCAGAAAAAATTCTAAATTTTGGTGCAAGTTCAATCTCGTGTTTTATCAACAATTTTTAAGGGCCCACTATAACTATATTAGGAATAATATCTATAACAAGCAACCAACATTGTTGGGCGCATTAAAGTATGATCGGAGAATCTCGTCTTTATCAAACATCTTCAGTTGGATTTTCAAATAATTTTTATTTTACATCTGATTTATTATTTTATAGAATCTGATTCAGCGGATGATAAGGAATCATCAAAAGCGAGATATGGCTCCGAGATTATAATAAATAAAGAAAGTATATATATATATATATATATATATATATATAATATTGTATAACTTTATTTTTATACAATATTTTGAAATTAGACTAAAATAAATAAAAAAAATAGAATAAATATTACAATAATTGTTGTTATCGTTTGTATACTTTAATCTTTACGAATTTAGCGTAAAAAATCTTTTTTCCGCTCATCAACATTATTAAATGTCACATATAAACTAACAAATATTAATTTCTATTATCATTATGAAAGAATTGCTTATATCGGTATAAAACATGGAGATTTATGCATACTATCAGGCCAAATGGTAGCTGAGTTTTTTAACTCTGCTGATGTTGGTCCACCAGGTACACGTCTGCCGTGATAAATATAAGGTTTTGATACTATAAGGAATAAAATATGTAAATGGCAGACATCGTAAAATACATTCAAAAAAATTTTTTTTCTGCATTTTCAAAATCGTCTGCACCATGTTAACCGCGCGATAATCGTCTGCCATTGGTATTTTACGATAGTAATAATATTATATTTTCAAATTTTCGAAACGGCAACCGTCGTAAAATGGTTCGGATATGGGCGAAAAAAAGGTACCTTTACCAGCTGCGCAGTAGCTGTGTCCGCCACTTTGGGCTTAGTCAGTCCCCATTTCATGTAGGATAGGTATAGAGGAATCGATGCACAAAATCTCAGGTGTCGTAAAATACATACTGTCATCCGCCCACGGGCTCTTGGACTAATAATGCATGGCCCCAAAGGAAGCAAATCACTTTGTACATCGAAATCAACTTTCGCCGGGCTCAACACGGAAAAATAAGATTTTGCAACAAATGCAAGTCTCTTCTTTTTACCAGTGGATCATTTGGTCTGATTTTAGAAGTAATTAGATTTAGTGTGATTAAAGTTAAAAGCCTTTGACAAGTTTCAATTTTCCTTGTTTTTTTCTTGTCGTTACTCAGCCTCGAATGAACTACCATTTATTCTTGCAAAATAGTACTATGTCATTTTGTCTATTGTATAACTACGTCATTTTGTCCAAAAGTGAACAAAAATGAATAAATAATCAAAATTACATCAAACATCTGATAACAGCAATAAAATTGATGAAATCACTAGTACTAGCATAAGTTCTTTGATTTTAATAAAAATTATTACAAATATCAATATATACGACCAAAAAATCCAAATAAATTTTTGAAAGCAAGATTTACGTTTGAACTGATTACTGCGATAAGACTCTGACGCTCAACATCTGACAGGATTGTAATTATGGCTTTCTTCGTGTTACACAGTCGCGAAAATGTTACTAAAATTAACCAATATTTAAATAAAGCTACTGTGTCATTTTGTTCACACATGGCATTTTGTCCGTATTTTCTCTATTTATAAAATTAAGAAATTGCTGTTATTGTTTTAAAGCACCAAAAGACAATGTGTCCGAATATTATTTTTAAAATAATAAAAAAGATACATGTATTACACGAAATTACGTAAGTATCAAATGAAAATCTACAAAGCGTTATCTTTGAACTCGATACTTTTGTCTAGTTTTTTACACGAATTTATTTAAAGTATTTTTTAAAACTTACCATGCTATCCACATGAAAAACATGACAATAGTGCGTACGATTGTCCGAGTCTTTAGTAATGTAAGCGAAGTGTGACAAATCGTCAGCGTCTTGACAAGCGCAGTGGATGTTTCTGATAGCATGTTCGCAAATTATGGCCTGTAAAAAATAGACAGAAAATGTAAATTAGTATCGAAATTGTTAAGTTATTATAAAATTTTGCTCTTTTTACCGATATTTATTAATTCTGAAAATTTAGAACTTATTATTAGAGATATGTGGAAAAAAATATTCTTAAGTTGCTCTTATATATTTGTATCAACATTAAATGCCAAATATGAAAGCTTTATTTCTAAAAGCATCAATAATAAAATAAATCTGAAAATTTATAATAAAGTACATAAGTCATTATAAAATTCTTTACATATAATATCAAAATCGAGTAGTTTTAAAGACAAAGACAAAAAATTGTGTTAAAACATGATTTGACAATTAGTGCTAATTTGCCACTTTTTTCAAAGCAACTATATTACTGCATAAATAAATGTAGGAAATCGAATAGTAACAGTAATAGTTATAATAATAATAATGATTCTTACATCGGTTTGTGGGTTAATGAATTGCACCCCTCGGTGCGAAATGGCAAGCCTAACGGGCGGCGAGTTGTGAAGCCGCGTGTCGGGCGCGGCCGCTGATGCTTTTAGCTTCTGCATAGATTTACGCGTCGATTCCGTGCCGCGTAACTCTTTCACAAGCGTCGACCCCATATACTGAAATAATTGAAATGATTTATAGATACATTAGTATACTCGTTAGTAGTATATAAAAGTCATAAAAAGTACTATGATACATTATAAAATGTGCCTCATAAACACTCATTTTCTTCGAAAATATTACTTTATCTTTAGGTCTTTTTAATAAATTTGGAAAATGTAAATATTCTTACTAAATACTACGGGGCTGAAAATGGCTTAATTAATAAATAACATTTTATAATTTTATATAAATAGCATTAACTTCAAATAGTGCCAGTTAAAAGTTTCGAATACAAATTCAATTTTCTGAATATATTATTATGAAACATACATACATACATACATACATACATACATACATACATACATGCATACATACATACATACATACATACATACATGCATACATACAACATACATACATACATACATACATACATACATACATATACACAGGAGCTAACGTCACGTGACGCAACACGGACTGGGTTGAAGAAATGCTAACGCGGTACCGACCCAGTCTTCCTCGTGATCATATGCGGGGAAATGAGGAGAGGAGGTTTTTTAGTGGGTGGAAATCCCACACTACCGTCCATCATCTTTTAAACACACGCGTGTCTTTGAAAGATTTTTCCTTCTCTATATAAAAAAAAAAAAAAAAAAAAAAAAAAAAAAAAACATACATATACATACATACATACATATATATGAATAGCTTGACTAATAAAGTATAAATGTTATTTGGTATTTATATTTCTTTAAATCTATCTTTTACCAAAATAAACCAAGATGATCACAAAAATTAGAAAGATACTATATAGAGAATGCGGGGCAAAAAGGTCCAAATTAAACAATTATATCGTGAACACCAAACCAATTATATCATAACAAATAACACCTATCAAACAAACAACTATCTGACTATGTTCAGTAAAACTCCCAGCCAATTGTAGATAATCATTGAAAAATTGTGTTTTTTTGCTGTTTTTCAAAAATTTGTCACCTGGTCCTATTTACCCCATCGGCAGGGTGAAATAGGACGACCACGAGGCAAATAGGTCCACTATCTTATTTTCAATTTTAAATGGGTTTTACGAAATAATAGCCACATTATTCAATCAAAGCAAAATATAAATTTTATCGGTACATTTTTACAGAGATAACAATGTATATGACCTTGATCTGGTATCTGGTCCAAAAATACTCAGCAGCCGAGTTAGAATAACTATTAATTTAATTTATGCCTTGTAGAATTGCTAGTTTTAACTTAATTTTAATATTTTTTTATTTACTTTTTTTCATTATTTACAACTTTGCCAGGATAAAGGTTTAGTTGGTCCATTTTACCCCACCTACGTGCAAGCTTTTACAGAGGTTATTATACAAAAAAACTGTTGAATATAACTTAAAATTAACAATACATCTTATCAAACAATTAATTTCGCAAATAATTATATTCGGATATTGCAATCTAAACAAAAGCGCTCACAACCAAAAAAAACTAACAACAAAAGAAAATACTTTTGTTATGGATTTTCAAAGGTGGCCGTTTATCTCCCGATACTGATTTTGTAAGAATGGTGATGAATGGATATACATCTTATTCCCTTTACTTCCAAATATTGTTGGTAAAACAATTCCTAACTTGTTGAGATATCGGTGTTAGACCTTTCTACCCACTTAACCTGTTACTTTTATTCGATTATGAAATATAGATAGCTGTTCAAAATTCTTAAAAAATAAAGAAAACAAGAAAGCAATAATCATGCTAATGTTTAGTTGATTCTAAGAGTCTCTCTTACAATAAAAATATACATCAGTTTAATCGCTACGAGTGAAGCAATTTAACCCTTTCGGTACAAGCGACACTGCTGTATATATAGTTATTGAATTCAAATAGAGAAAATTCTACTTTTCGTTAGATTATTAGAATCTGTTAAACGATTATTATTGTGTTACAAAACTGTAATATTGAATTTATATATATATATATACTGAATATTGAAACAATACATATTATTACACATCAACTGCATTTAGAGTAACCCGGAATTAATAGATGCATTTAAAATTACATACATTAATCGTTACAACATAATTCCATATCCAGATATAATATTAAAAGCTCGCACATGCAATAATCATGTTATGCTCTATAAGTCACACTAATCAAATCAACACGAATCAAGCTAAAATCTTTGAAAAAACATGAATAGAATTTGTGGTTTATAAAAAAAATTGGTTAGCAACTATAATTGTTACTATGTGAGCTAATACCCCAGATGCAATAGTATTCGGAGATCATTCCACTGAAGGCCGTAAATTCACTTGACGCATTGCAGCGCGCGTAGATTAAAACCAATAAGCGTGAATCCATCAGGATTAATGGCAAACGGATTAACTATAGCTAGCTATTATCAATAAGCCATGAACCATTACCGATGTGAATGTCTACCGCAGTAACAATATACAACGTTATAGAGTAGACCCATATATGTCCGAATCACAAAACTTCATAGTACATCAGATTTACGACTGAAGTCAATCTTATTGTGAGAACTGACACATATTTATCGATGGTCATAGCGAATTAAATTCTGTCACTATCGAATTGTCTACACACCAGACTAGTTGATTAATTATTGTTATACTAGTAAAATCAATTAAAATTAATTATGCTGGAAATCTCAGTCACAAAACTGATTACCGTTAGCTTAAGAATAGATTTAAATATGGTTTGCAAGGTTTGAGCGGGGTTTGAGCTCTGATATTTAGCTCATGATTATTTTTATAAGACGTATTATTAATTTTAATTTAGATTCAACAGTTTTTTCTGTATATAACGCCCTCTATAAAAGCTTACACATGGTTTGGGCGAAAAGGACCAACTAACCCTTTACAATTAAAAATAAATTGCGTTACAATAGTAATTTTACAAGAGATATAAAATTAAAGAAAATAAATTAATAGTTATTTCAACTCTGCTTTTGAATATTTCAGACAAAGTGCCACTATGGTGTGTTCTTTGTAAAAATTGTGCCCATAAAATTTTTATTTCGGGTTCGTAGACATGAAGTAAAATTAGAAACGAGTGGTATATGGAATCGTGCCTCAAGGCAAATTGTTGGAACTTCCCGTACCACAACAAAATGTTCGAGGAATATTAAATGTTTTCAAGTAGATTATTAAAAATACTGTAACGTTTTCTAATATTTATAAGAATTATATAAACTGAATTACAAAGTTAAAATTATTCACTTAAAGTTTATAAGTGAGCTTTAGAACTTTAACCAAAATTAAATTTGAAATCTCAACTATTTTCGATATTCAAAAAAAAAAATTAAAAAAAAAAAATTAATTTTTTTTTCCAAAAGCAACTATTTCGTCAACACTACCAGAAAGTTTTTTGAATCATTCAAATCGGATGCTTATTTCTCCCAAAAACTGTCATTTTTTGTACATTTGGCCCTGTATCTTCTAAATGACTGGACCTGGCTTTGCTAAAAACTAATCAGCACATCTCCCTATCAATAAGAATCGAATGTTTTTCGAGCCATTCAAATCGGTTGATCCGTGCGCCCGAAAACGTGAACGAAAAATGCGGACACAAAACAGACACACACATACACATCAATTTTTTCTGAGGTATGCGAAAATGTTCAGAAACCTTCAAACGTGGAGAAATGCAAAAAATTTCATTTTCGATTTTCAGCCCATTACTATAACTACCATAAGGGAATTTAATAAGACATTCGATTTGTTTGCACCCTGGCTTCCCCTTTTTACCCCATGGGTGGAGACAAATAACACATTTAAAAAAAATGATGAAAAACTTATTTCCATTATTGGGAATTAACTGATTTTTTTGTCTGAACATAGTTCGATAGTTGTTTATTTAATACGTGTTATGTGTTGTGATGTTCTTACCATATGTAATAAATAATAATTAATAAACATTACTCGTTAGATTTTAGTTAGTTTAGTCGGGCCATTAAAAAAAAAAACAAAAAAACACCAATATGTATCTGAATAACCACAATTTACCGAACGTACAAGTTGTAATCTCTTGCTCAATAATTATATGCGAAAAGATGCATGCACGAAATATTCATTAAAAAATAATTAGTTTTTCTGCATATTTTAACATAATATTGCATATTAATTTGTCGTCAGATAATATCAGTTGAGTATTTATAAAATTAAAACGTTGAAAAAATTTGGGGTGCAACATTTTTTTATTAGAGCAGAGGGGCGCGATGCAAAAAAGGTTGGAAACCACTGTATTAGAGCATTATTTACGCACCATTTAGGGTACATTCACGGTTATATTCGACCCACTAAACATTGCAACTTATATATTGGAGTTGTCCTACTATAATCCAAACAACAAATGTAGATATGAAAATTATCAGCACGGATGTATCTTGCTTACCATATGACAAATTGGCGATATTATTTTACTACCATACACTTAATATAACATGATAAAAATAAAACTTCTTTACTCACAAATGCAGAATAAGCCACTGATCCGTTAAGCAAAGTGTACGGGGTATGTCTCCACTGTGTCCGCAAAGCGCTTGGCACTCCCAACAAAAGTTCTGATGGAGCACGAATCTCCAGTTCTTCTGCCGGCACCGGCGGCTGAGGAGCAGGACGCGATTTGCGATGACTGTGCCGTGAAAGTGTACTCGCTGGCACAGTCACGTTCGTCGTAACCAACTCCGAAGAAGTCGCAGGCCTGGTGGCATCCTCCTTAATCGTTCGAAGATTTGGAGCAGTGCTCGAAGAAGAAACGGTGCTCGTCGGTTGGTGATGATGTCCATTGTTTTTCTGCAGACACAAAAATCATTTTGATCGATTAAGGGACACAACTAGTGTAACCGCCTAAAATAAAGGTGATTTTTGGGAATTTATATTAAAAAAACTACATTATCAATCATTTCAAAATTTTAGGAATATATTTATACATGTATTAAAAATACATAGTAACATTTTTGAAGAAAAAAATTTAATATTTTTAAGTTATCGTCGATCTCCAACGGCGCGACAAAAAAAGCCCTTCACTGCTGCAGTGATTCCGGCCTTCTACATGAATGAAATTAAAAAAAAAATCTCGTTAAACTAGATAATATTGTCTGTAAAATGAACTATGATAAAGAAAAAAATCAAAAATTGACAAAATGACGGCGTTTTTTAAAAAAAAGTCGAATTTTACCCAAAATTTTGGTAGTTTTTAGACTGCCAAAATTCGATTTTTGATCCGATCAAAAAATCGATACTTCATTTTACGGAGAACTATATATAGAACATGTAAAAAAAATTTGATAGTGATCGAATCATTTGTTTTTGAGTAATCGCTGCAGCAAATTCGGAAAATGCTGTTTCGAGAAAAACGCGTTTAAAGATTAAGTGATCGTTATACTATATACTATATATATACTCTTTAAATGGCTGTAACTCAAAAACTATTTAAGATATCGATTTAAAATTTTGGTATGTTATTTTTAAAGGTATAACCTATCGAAATATGGAAGAATTGAAAATTCAATTTTTGAAAATTTCACACTAGTTGTACCCCTTAATAAGTAAAGTCACGTTTTGTAGTAAAGTATGCAAAGATCATTATCCATAATTACCATTTGTGAAAGCTCTTGAGCGATTTCATCCATATTGGGTCCAGGAGGAGATTGTGTTCCAGACAGCGAATGTAATATCCGCTTTCGGTGACCAGTTTTTGCGATATCTAGCACAGCCGAAAGTTCTACTTCCCACACGCGCCCTATCTGTAAACAACAAAATAAACCAATCAGCAATTTTAATTTTATGCGAAACATGAATTCAAGAAAATATACTCACTCGTTCCATATCCGTGTACATATGTTTCCTAAACGTCTCAGCGTACTCTCCTAGTTTTATTGACTCTAACCAATTCTGCACAGCCATAGATGTACCGTTGTTATTTTCACTACTACTATTAGATGTTATTTTGATTGGAGGTGTAGGCTTTGGCAATTCGCTCACAGCTTTCATAAGCACTGCGATTTCTTCAGGATCCACGACACCCATTTCAAAAAGGTCTGCTTCTGATAAAAGTCCATTCTACAACAGAATAATAATATTTTTGTATAAACTTCATCGAATAATAATATTTTTGTATAAACTTCATCGTTAAATATGTTAGAATTAAGCATCACTTACCATGAATTCAACATTATCAAATCCAGAATCTATAAAATTACTTTCATATTTTTCCATTCCTAATCCTCTAAGCCACATACCTAATGGAGCAGGCGAGTTTCCTATAAAAATTAAACACTGGTTAGTAATACTGGTAATTGAAAATTAAATCATGAGAAAGTACCTGAAGAGATAAGAGGTGAAGGCAACGGAGTGGTCGGTTGTGAACCGATACCCAGCCTGCTTTGGAATTCTTTTTCTAATTCTGTAACAAATACAGACTCTCGTACTAAACCAGTGCCAAAAGAGGCCATAATTTCTGAGATTTTATTCCATTCTTCTTGTTCATCAAATGGACTCAACACAGATACTGTACGGTCTCCTCGTTGCTGGTCATTGCTATTCGTCGGCGTATGAGAGCGCTTTGAAGATTGGTCACCTGATAGAAAAGAGATTCGAAAAATATTTCAATGCATATTTAACAAAGCATTTTACGATCGTGAACAGGCATGTATAAGATTTGCATTGAATAGTAACATAGAATAACAATGCTTAATATTTAATTAAGCATTAATTATTAAAAAGTTTATGCGCGTTTACCGATATGCATAAAAAAATAAAACTGAATCGAAACATTGAACTAAACAAAGCTGAAGTTGATGTTGTAACTTAATGAAATATATATGCGACCATTACATACTGCAATGAAGTATGAAGTGGTGAAATTGTAATTATTATATTTTATGTATGGTCAGAAATGTGCATGGAAAATGGAATAAAACATCGGTTCTATTTCTTGGTTTTCGATATTCCGAGGTAATGATTAATAGGAACAACTAGAGCATTTGCATTACGACGTTAGAACTGAAATTCTATAATATTACCTTTCCATCTTTTTCTCCACCGGAATGTTCAGATGAGTCATCAGCTGACGGTTGATTTTGCGTCACATGTGTATTTTCGTAAACATGTTTAAGTTTTCTTAAAGTTTTTGGTCGTTCAGCTGGTACTGGGCAACGACTGTCCAGCGCCATCGTCGAACCCTTAAACAGACCTGTAAGTCAAAAAAATATATATATTACTAGATGTTATTAGTAAAATTTGTTTTGAGTTTGAATTATGACTGAATAACTTTACTAACTTCATATATTTTAGTAGCAATACTAAAACGAAATCAGTCGAAAACAAGAGTATATACATATTGCAAATATGCTTATTAGATTATACAGTTGCTGGTTTAGTATAATCCAGGCGCAAATTATAGCAACACCTGGCCACTCTCACTAAAGAATTATATGATATGCTCATGTTTATGAGAGGTTTTAAAAATATACGATAGTAATAAATTGTTGCGTATAATTTGAAAAAGTACACAAATTATTCAATAGGCTTTATTTAAATGTTATCTTAATTTATATAACACATATAGCTTTAAGGGCAATTCTAAATAGGCGAGCCTATCTTCATATTGATAGTAATGAGGTGTCAAAATGCTATGTAGGTTCGACTTTATAAGTAAAACGCCTGATCGCACACTAAATACATAGCTTTTTGATAGCTCTTTACTACCAATTCATGCAAAATCCAAAGAACCAAAGATAGGTCCGTGACATAGCGTTTCCATAACATTTCTATTTTTTCCGAAAATAGGCCCTTTAATTAAGGTAGATTTGGCTTGTTTTGAAAAACTTGTTTAACAAAGTAATATAATTCCAAAGCATAGCTTATGCAGAACTAAGGAACCGATTATGTTACCCTCCAGTTTTACACATGAACTGCAACGTCACTCGTATGTTATGGAGCTGGGTCAGAAACACCCTGTTATCTAAGATCGTTTTTTGACATTTGTTCGGTTTCTAGGTTAGATTATTAGAAAATTTTATTAAGAATTAAACATGACAATGGAACTGACCTACTCTATACGCTGAAATTGCGAGTGCCAATCTTGTAATTCTTTTAGCCGATTTCATTGACAATAAATACTTTTGACAAACACAAAAAATATTTGATTTAATCAAAGTTTTAACAGATTAATATTTGACAGCAACTTTTTACTTATTACGTAATTTATTAACAATACTTGAAACCGCTTAAGATAACTGTATATTTCTATTGTTCAACCGCACGCAGCAATAATTTCAAGACGCAAGATGACAATAAAAGAAACCGCAAGGTATTTCTCTAACTTTGGTTACATTTACTTGAAAATAGATAAACGTACTTTAATACATTCATGTGCGTCTCATTAGCATATTATATCCTATGTAAATTTTTTGTTGGTGCGAATAATTCATCGGTTGTGCATCGAAATCGTGCTTCACATATTGACGAGAGCCACTGTGCGAATTTACACAATCTGAGATAGTGGGAGAGCTATAACTAATAAAATTGATATGGTAATTTATTAAAAAAAGAAACTGTAGGAAGTTTATTGTTCATGTATAAAATATAATAACCTTTTTTCATATTAATATTTGGTTAATAAAATATGACTACAATTTGGCTTCAAAACCAGTTAAATCGTTTGAACCGTTTGCATTTGAATCTTGTACCATTTACTACATTCAAAATTAGTTTCAAGTATTATTATTTTAAAAGTACATGAAGCAAATTGATAAGTTTAAAACGAAGTCTGCTTCTTAAGATCATAAGATCATAAGTAATGTTATGTTATTGAGGCTTGTACAAATCGATATAAAAGTTAAATTCAAAATAATGAATAAACCAAAAACGTTAGGAACTAGGAATATTCAATTAAATTTAATTGAAATTTGATGGACATCCATAAATACAATCAATAAAATGGATAAAATTTTGCACATTCACGGATAGAACACTTTTCTATATATTCTAGATAATCTAGTAATTTCTTGTGTAGTACCAATAGCATTTTAATTGCATTTGAATGAAAATAAAAATTTGACCATTTTCATTTTAGTGTAAATTTGTTCTTTTATTATTTTGGTTTCCTTTGACTTTTCATAAACTAAATACCAGTAACCGTACTATAAATGCAAAAATCCGGCACCGTAAGTCATTATTCAACGATGCCTGGCGAATGTTTAATAAAAATCCTATGTGCTCAGATTTGCAATCATTGTCTTGAAAATATTTTATACTTTAAATTATAGTAAAAACTTCAGTTACAAGTCCATGTTAGAAAGAAGCGAGCATATTTATGTAATTACTTATAAGTAATTTTCTCATTCTCATGCTATAAAAAATTCTGACATGTTTTGCTACATAGGAAAGAATAATTTTCTACACATGACGTTTTTCATATTCCGTACAAAGAGCAAACCGCCGATATAGCATGCAATGAAGATATATAATAATTTAAAATAAAAGCATTCGTAAAGAGACTCATATTCGCAGAATCTTTTACTGAAACGTCGATAATATTAATGATTTTCCACAATAAAATCTTATAAACCAAACTAATTTGAAAAATATATTATCATTTAAAAATACAGAGAACATATTCACTTACTTAATATTATATATACGTACGTACTTATATATTTGTTATAATATACCAATTTTTGGCCGCGTTTAAAATAAAAATAAGAAATAAATTTCATTTTTAATTCTCTTATGAATCAAAATAAGGCTATCGAGACATATTGATTGATTTATTAATTTTTATAATTATACCA